ATTAAGCTGAAATACCACTGCTCTAAGCCAATCAAATTGCAGAAATTTCCCATGTAGATTTATAACAATGGGTATTGTCAATTTCTAAATATTTAAACATCACACCTGTTTTGTCTTAACTTTTTCAGAGACCTTTCGTATAATAAGATAACAAGCGTTACGGATGAAACATTTGAAGGACTTCAGGACTTATGGCAGCTGTAAATTTTATTCACTTGAATGCGTTCACAAATAGTTAGGTTCAATAATCTGTTATCTATCAAGTCACTTTAACCAAATACCCGTGGTTAGGCAGAAATGTTAGCTGTTCCGTCAGCGATTCACAAAGTTTCAAGAGTTAAAACTTTTGTTCATTTGGCTCCAGTCTCTTCGTGGTATATTTTGGAAGTGTTGGCCTGGATGCCACCAACATTTCACATTCCGCACACATAGTTTAAAGTTAAGAGTGCTAGGTTAGCAAAGACTTACCAAGAACAAAAGGGTAATTAAGGTTACATTGAATCGATGTCTCAAATATGCTCTGAAAAACTGCTGTTCGCCTCAACTCTGGTGATCTACATGACCTAACCGTCCTTTTTTGTGAGAATCCGTTTCCCTTTTTCGTTTATAGGAATCTTCTGCGTAATCACATAAAAGACTTGGGAATCAAAGTCTTCAAACATTTGCAATCCCTAGTGAAATTGTAAGAGTGGATATTTTTATAATTTAATATTATGATATGAGTATAAGAAAGGGTTGGATGAATAAACAACACACATGTATATATTTATTGAATTGTTTTTAAAATTGAATAATATTATATAGCTGTAGTTATTTTAGATTTTATTTATACACGTTCGTATTTTGAACGAGTTTTTTAGCTCTTTGACGTAACGTGTTAAAATAAATGATTGATTGATGTTCATGCGTGATTCTATTGGGCCACAGTAAATGCTGCTGTTCTCAGTTATTATTAGTAATGTACATTTTGCAGAATCCTACATTTGTTTATACATCAGTTGGTCTCAATTGCAGAAACTGTACCCATTTCTCAATATATACTTGCTAGACATGAAGACCCACTAAAATCATTTTTTTAGAATTCTCTCAGAAAACGAAATTGAGGACATTCAAAAAGGAGCTTTTTCTAACTTACCAAACCTCGAGTTCTTGTAAGTGTAAAGAAAACTATATTTCATACTGATTTCTTTTTCAGTTCTTTGACCATTTGGAATATAACCAAGGAACTGGCAATATGCAGGGTCCTCAGTTCCCTTCCTCTTTCTACAGGAAGAGGAAGAGAAAGGACCCTGGTAGCCATGTTGAAAAACTGGTAAACATTATGACGTCATAGAGTGAGGTCAGAATGATGTTTGATTAATAAATGATATGTGCGTAAGATTACTGCTCAACATATGGTGCCTGTGACACTTTCCACGAATGCCTCTTTGTTGCCATGACCAATCTGATTGATGTACTTGTATATTCTCTTTGATAAATTCCCGATATAGGAACCTCTCAAGTAATTTCCTCAGCAAGATTGAGAATGGTGCATTTGCAAATTTATCTTATCTTTCAGAACTGTAAGCGGCTTAATTACTCATTGAAATACTATTGAATAAACCTCAGTGTTTATCTTTTTTAACCCCACATATTGACCGACTCGTAACAGGAATCAAGCAATATCATTTCCAGCATATACACAGCTTCTTTGTTCTTCCAATTACTTTTCAGGTACCTGTCCAGCAACAAGCTAGTCAATCTCTCAAGTGAACTCTTCTCCGATCTTGACTATTTAGACACGCTGTAAGTTGTTGTAATCCATAAAATACTATAATTTCTCTCTTTAACCACAAGTTAAGCAACGAAATACCGAAATATTTTGGCACATCTTTACCCTTTTTTCGCATACATGTGTTCAGTTATTACACAGATTACAGAAGGAAATCTTTATCCGTAATTCTGTCATCTCTAATTTTCTAAGAAATAACAATTAAAGACGTGCTAAGCTGTTTCATTTAGTTCTTTTGTATGCAGTTTTACTTGATTTGGTTTTGATTTCTTTGGAGTAGCGAATATACAAATTAAAGGCCCTTCTGCGAGAACTCATTATTTGCCGATACCTGGATAAAATTTGCAGAGACTGAAAGGTAATAAAAGCAAATTCCTCTGGGCAAAACGGGGCCCAGATTTAGGGACTTGACGAAACAAAACCATTCTTCAAAATTAGGCCGGAATCACTGAGTGTTTTTATATCCCCGGAAGACCGTGCAGCTCATCGATTTACCAAACAAATTCACAACTTATCACTAGAAATGTTAACTTGTCAAAGGATAATTGATCATACAAACGTTTACTTCACAGTGACTTATCCAACAATGAGATACAGCGAATTGATGAAAAATTATTTCAGGGTTTGTCTTCGTTAAGTGAATTGTAAGTGAGGCTGATTCTTGGTTTCTAGATAACTTTTTACCATTCTTAATATACAGTGTTTTAGTATGCATCTTATACAGTACAGTTACAGTGTTAGAGAAATATAGGAGGCATTAATTTTACGAGGATCGTTCTTCCTTGCTTTTGAGTTTGCTAGTGTAATACTGTTGATGGTCATTTCATCTCAGGTTTCTTAGACTCCAAAGAGACCTCTATAATGGGGCCCTTCAAGGGACTCTTCATTGACTTGTCCCTCATTTTCCTGGCGGCCTATGCGTTTTGGGATCACGTGGTCCATTCCTCTCGCTGCGTCACCGAAATGCATTGGACAAGAAGGCCTGAAAAGACGCCTCACAGATACTAGGCAAGACTTTATAGTCAAACTATCACATGCACCTAAATCAAAACATAGCAGGCATGGCAAGTGGTTGAGAGACTGTTTTACATTATTTTTTACTCTCGCAGACTTCTTTCTCAGAATAAACTCACAGAATTAAAGAATGCTACATTTAGTAACGTTCCGACGCTTAGGAGACTGTAAGTGCTTCTCGGCATTCATTCTACAGTCAACTCCCTTTATAGCGGACACTGTAGGGACCTCGAGTTAGTGTCCTCATTAGCAAGAGTCCGTAATAGCGGGAGTTTATTTCAGTAAAACATCTGTTATCTATTTTTGTTCGGGATTTAGCTTCTGTCCGTATTTTCGGAGTGTCCGTTATAGTGGGGTGTCCGTAAGGCGAAAGTTGACTGTTTTTCTTGTACACATCTACCGTTATTTCGATCATTATGAGGTCCATATAAAACAATAACAAAAATGCATAAATGAACAAATAAATACTAGATAAATATCAAGGCGTAATCAACTTGCTGGAACGACTGTGGCAACCGTGAAGGATTTAACGTTTTGTTTCATAGAAGGGTTTGTTTGTGGAACCTGAACTAGACGGAATTTCGCCCTCGTTCGCTCAGCTTCAACCGTACTTAGCTAACGCAAGTTAAACCTGAGGGAGAAACGGGTTTTACTGACCAAACATCTGCTGACACTTAGTGAAGACACTTAGCGTATCCCTTTTTACTCTTTTACCCTTTTCCACTGCTTTTTTTTAAAAAATCATTCTAGATATTTGCAGCGTAATAGCTTGAAAAGGATACCACAAGGTTGTTTTTCAAGGCTTTCCATACTTGGCTATCTGTAAGTATTTCGTAGTTGTTCAGATTTCCACCTATCTAAAGTTTTAGCCGTGCTTGAGTTTGAAACGCATTCCTCTAGATTTTACACCTAATTTTTCATTGCTAGGAGTCTGAGTGAAAACAAAATTTCTACGATAACAGATGGTTCATTTGATGGCCTGACGGACGTTTTGCTTTTGTACGTAGATACCTTGTGTTGTTTTATGCCTTGTCTCCTATTCTTGTACCATCTAATTATCAGTCACATCTCTGTCTTTATGCCTTTAGATCATACATATCTTTGTTGTAATTATGAAGAAGATTGTACTAAATAATATACACTGTATTAGATGCTACTGTATAGACTGAATATTTTTTACTCGGCTAATACGATATTCTACGGTTTTTCGATGTAAAACAGTTTTCAGTTTTTTAGATTAAAGCATATGGAAGATATAAGAAGGTTACGATCTTTCTTCTCTTTCTTTAGACTGTTAGCTGATAATGGCATAGATGAAATTCAAAGCGGGGCTTTTATGGAACTCGGACGTGTGCAATATCTGTAAGAGCAGTGTGATGCTATACGGTGCGATGCGATGTTACATCATGTGATGTAATGTGATTTAAAGTCAAGTTGTGTTTCGATATGATGCAGTGTAAAAATAGCATTTTAATGCCATGCGATGCATTGTGTTGTGATGTGACGCAATGTAATACGATGTGGTGGCGCGATATGATGCAGTACAGTGCATTACGATATGATGTGACGCGCAATGTAATGAAATGCAGTACATTTCGATCTTAGGAGATGTGATGCAATGCAATGCAGTGCAATATGATGTCATATGTGATATGCTGCTACGCAATGTGATCTGATGTAATAGGATGTAACTCAGTTCACGTGCAATTCGATATGTCAGTGATTGATGTTATACAATTGATGCAATGTGATTTACTGCAATGCAGTGCAATGCAATGATACGATATGATGCAGTGTTGTACTATCCACTGGTAGTATAGGGTCCACCGAATTAACCTTTTCCTTGCCAGGAATCTCATTAGCGTGCACAGGAATACATTAACTAGGTGACGTCATAGGCTATTGTCTTGATGTCATGAATAAAATGCTGTGGTATCTCATTAACTTGCGGTGGAATCTCATTAAGTATATCCAGTTTGACGGGTTTATCAATGATGTCATGTTCTATTTTTATCTTGTGGCGGTCACATGAGATTCCTGCGCAAAGAATGCGATTTGCTGCAATACGATTTGATGTCATGTAATAAAACTCAATGCAATAGATGCGATGGGATGTGCTGCGATGTGATCCGGTTCAATGCAACACGATGGAATGCCTTACAACGCGATGGGATTTAAAATAGGTACTACATTTCAATAATATCTCATTTGCAGGGATCTGTCAAGGAACAATATTAATCGAATAAAGGATAGATACTTTGGATCGCTTCACGAAATGCAGTATCTGTACGTAGTTTCACGGTCTGAAAGGACAGACAATAGTCTTATAATTAATTCGTAACACAATTAGTGCTTTCATCATTGACCTTAAAAACTGAACTCCACATTACTTACTCATACGTAGCTCAAGTTCTGATATACTCATAAATGTAGTCTTTTTCAGGTGTCAAACAAGGGTCTATTTATCCTTTAAAAGCGTTTTATTCTCTGTAGGAATCTGGCTCAAAACCCTCTAACGGACATAGATGAATTTGCCTTTAGAAAAACTGCAGCCCTCAAGTATATGTACGTCAAATAACTTCTATAATTGTTTAGATCACTCTTGGAGCGTCCTTATTGCGGCTTATAGATGAACATTTTATTGTGCAGGAATATCATCGGAACGGAAATGGCAATAATTCCCAGTAAAGCCACTTCAAACCTTCAGGAGCTTGTAGTTTACATGTGAGTGAAATGTTCGCTAAGTTTTACTCCTTCCCCTTCACCCCTTCTCCCTGTTTGTGCGTCCTGTTTTCCATGAGCGTTTGGAGTTCGATGCGCCCTACGCTTTTATCAGTTTCAAGGAGTTTCAAGAATTAGTGTCAAAATTGTTTTCTTACTTATACTTCTGTTAGCTTAATGACTAACCCTGGCTAATTACTAAAGATTAAAAGTCCATCTAGAGATTACTTTTGGTAGATAGCTGATGGGGTGTGAAATGAAGCCATCAGAGGACCTGGTGAAAAATCAGTAAAAAGAAAGCATGGGGAGTGCCAAGCCTTCGTCTCGTGGTGATAGCGAGTACTTCAGCAAATCAGACCTTAAATGCAGGAATTGCAATAGAGTAATAAGTCCAGGGGTTCAAACCAATGTAAACCCTTGGAAAGGACGTGATTGGACAATTAAATCATCAAGATCATTAACAAGAAATATAATAATGCTGAAAATGATTTTAAAAAAATAGCAGTCATGCAGACTACAGGAATGTCCCTGAAAAAACTTGCCAAGTTTTCTCTTTGTTTTAACCAGCTAGTTACACCTTTTGTCTCGTTATGAGGATAGTTGCTTAACTCTTTGTATTTTAACAGCATGAGGTGATCCACCAGAACTGCACTTGTCCTCTCGTTATGACGAAAGTTTCTTAACTCTTTGTATTTCAACAGAGCATCAGGTGATCCACCAGAACTGCACTTGTCCGCCAGTTACTTTCTGTTTTCAGCACTGCGATCCTCTGGTTACCAATGTCAAGTGGCTTCGTTTTTTCAACTGATATGTAGCCCCTGTCCGCTTGGTACATATTCCTTTGGAGAAGTTCGCTGCAAACTCTGCCCTCCAGGTATGAATCCCGATATAACTCTGTCAAATTATTTAATGGTATAATAAAAAGCCAACACATTTTTCCTTCATATAACATTGAGTTTTATTGGTTTGTTGAATAGGAGGATTCTTCCAGGATGTTATGGCATTTGTGGGGCTTTTAACTCATGGAATGGGATGTAAGATGTGTCCCCCCGGTAAATACGTTAGCCCAGAGTCTGCACCTGGAATGTCTGAGAATGATTGTAAAGGCTGTCCCCAAGGTCAGAAACAAGATTAAAAGCATACATTTTGTACTACTTGTTATGGTGTCACTACAACAATAAGCATATCCCGGGTGATGCTCTTGCTGAGTTCAAATCCTTTAGGTTAATTTAACGGCCCATAAAAATGGCCCTCTTCAAGACGATGACAACATTCTGCTGGGGTGGATTTGCCCTTCTTACAAAATAAAATACGGGACATTTTAGTTTGTTGTTGGGGAAATTGATGGGTTAATACGAGGCCAAAAAAAAAAAGTTTAAAAAATAGTGAATAGTTTATGTCCACGTTTTTTATGTGTCGATGATCTAACTCTAAGACTGCTTGTTTTTTCAGGAACCCAATATGATCTCTTTGCTGGATTCAGGGCGTGTTTCTGCATTGCAGGATTTTATCGTTTGGACAGGTTTGGAGCTTGTCAGCCATGCCCATTGGAAGGATTGCTTTGTCGTAACGAGACCGTTAAATTACGGGCTGGTTTCTTCTGGAAATGGGAAAGCAAGATGAGCCTTGATTTGTACCAGAATTTCACCAAAAACTTGATGATATTTAATGATTCGTACAACACAGAACAAACAACATACAATGGATCCTTTCCAACAGCTTACGCATGCCCAGTTCCAGAGTCGTGTCTTGGAGGAATGGAATCTAAATGTGCCGATGGTTACCAGGGCGCATTGTGCGCAGTCTGCAGTAAAGGTTACTATCGACTTGTTTCAACGTGTCGAAAGTGCCCCACCCTTCCCTGGTTGATTGGTCGAGTGTTCCTTGTAGCTGTAATCTTAGCTATCATTATAGGATCTCTTTTAATCGGTAGAAGAAGAAAAAATGAGAGTGGTCGATCAGTCACGGATATTCTATTAGCCCGATTGAAGATCGTTATTGGATTTTATCAGGTCACTTCTGGAACATTAACATCTTTCTCTCACGTAAACTGGCCAGATGCATTGATCAGCGTGATTAACTATGCGCAAATTGTCCAACTCAATTTGTTACAGATCGTTCCTGTTCACTGTTTTAATAATGAGGTCAAAGTAGACACATATTCTACTTTTCTAATGTTCGCTGCCGTCAACATCTTGGGAGTAGCACTATTTGTTGTTGTGTATTTTATCAGCAAAGTGTACAACATCAGACGCAGTGACTTAGATGACAAGGGCCTAAAGCGCGCGAATTCTTCGTCAAAGGAACAGTGCTACAGGTGCATTTTCGTACTTTTGTTTCTTACTTACCCCGCACTATCTGCTCAGATCCTTCAAATGTTGCCTGCAGCCTGCCATGAGATTTGCATGGCCGCTCAGGGAAAGAACTGCGAAGCGTTCCTCAGATTTGATTACTCAGTCCGTTGTTACACTAAGAAGTTTAACTCCTATGCGATACTGGTATATATTTCATTGGTATTTGTCGTTGGCTTTCCTCTGGCAACGTTGGTGCTCCTCTGGAGGTCACACTTAAATGACAAAAAAGTTGCTTTAAAACAGCAGAATGTCCTTGGAAAGGCTTTACGTATTGAAGCAGAAGGATCCGACCAGGTGCAACTTCCAACAAATCAGAACGAAGCAAAAGATGAAGACCAAGATTTGCCAGGGAATGAGATTTTTAAAGGAATGAGATTCCTTTACGAAAACTATTCGTCGAGTTGTTGGTTCTGGGAGGTTGTGGACTTGGGGCGAAAAGTAGTCCTGACATCAGTGCTTGCCCTGGTAGGAGCGGAGAGCCGCACTCATCTTGGCGTAGCAGCTTTGCTTTCTGGTCTGTACACTGTAGTCTTTGCTTACTACAAACCAGTGACTGATATATTTGAGTACTGGTTACAGCTCGCTTCGCTGTTGGCCACAAATTTAAATATGAGCGCGGGAATGCTGCTGAAGATTCCATCTCAGGCCGCAGTGACGTCAGATGTGTCCAGCCAGTTTGAGTCTGTCGGTGTAGCAGTTCTTCTTGTTGCAAACAATCTTTTTGTTTCCTCAATAATTATCGGTAAGCTAAATTAAATAGTTTGATTATCGGAGCTATAAGTGAGTGATTTCTCACGCGCTGCATGATTACCATAGAAATGACGTACTGATGGCGAAATTTTTTCTCTCTCTCGCGCGCTATTTTCAAAACTTTCTGGAAATTGATGTTTAAAACTGTCAACATCAGAGTAAAAAAAAAATAGAAAACAATTTTTTAAAAATCTATAATCCGTAGGTATTAGCTTTATTATTATTATTATTATTATTATTATTAACAGCAGCAGCAGCAGCAGTAGTAGAAGTAGTCCTTTCTGATAACGGAACGAAATCTAAACATATCCTTTCATTCTTTGCAGTACGCATTGGATTCTCGCTGTTTGAGAAGTTGATGGCCTTCAAGCAACATCCACAATGCAATTTAAAATGCTGCCTCTCTTTCGTGATGATGATGAACGATGCCTCAGGGGAGGTCAGAGGATTAGAAGATGAAAAGGATTACGAAGTATCTGGAGTTGCCAGGGCGATGGAAAATATGACGTCATTTGAAGTTGACCCCGATGATGAACCAAGCGAAAAGAAGAAAATAAGAAAAGAGGCAGACACTTAAAAAAACAAATTTGAAGTTTGATATTGTGATTGGCTTCTTAGTGGTCCGCCAGCTTCTGTGAAAATGTTCCTTGAAAAAACATTTATGTGTAATCATTAAAAAAAAGGTGCTTAAAATATGTCGATAGTAAACAAAGTACACTAACTTCAACATGAAAGAGAGAAAGATGTGATTGTTAGCGAAGTCGTTTCCAATTCTCTCTTCTTCCCATTACCAATAGCAGTAATAGCGAGGCCGGAGGGAGTGGAAGGGACTAAGAGAGAGCATGGAAACCAGCTTGTCTCTCTGCCACCATGGGCCAGCACACAAGACCTAAATGTGAATAGCAAAAGCCTAAGACTACATCGGCAGTCGAAATTAAGCAACAGAAGTTAGTAGGAAGCTTAGACCTTCTTCAGAGAAGAGGTCAAATCAGGATCCCTCCCCCCCCGGTCAAACCTATACGGGCTCCTAACCCATCCTAGAGGGGAGGGGAGGGAGGGAGCGACCATGGTGTCTTTTCAGCTCATCCCTCTTACGTTCTCCTATGTAAGATAACAGATCTTTTGGAGAAGATTAAAAAATTCAACGTTTTACTGGCAAGATGTTGAATATTTAAGATTTTGATGGCAAGATGTAAAAAATTAAAGTACCCGCTGGAAAGATGTTGCAGATTCAATATCTTCAATACCTTGATGGCGTGATGTTGAAAATTAAAGATTGGCTTGCAATAAAGATGTTGAAAATTCAAGACCTTCTTTACAGGATGTGTAAATTCAAGATTTTGCCAGGATGTTGGGGTCAAAAACATAAAAATTACGTTCGTGGAAATTAAGGCTGCACCTGATTGAACGTCGCGGAAATAAACGTTCACAGAAATTAACGCGAAATTTCATGAAGCCTTAATTTCCTATAATAAAGTATTCGATTAAACGCCGCCCTCAAAAAACGCCGTTCTCGATCAAACGCCCTGATGGAAGCAAAATTACCAATAAACGCCGCCCTCGAATAAACGCCGCACCTAATCAGAAGAATGCGGAGTTTACTCGAGGATAATGAGAAAAAACTCGGCACAACTTGGTAATGTTCGCAATCCAGACATTTACGATTCTATCTCAGCAAAATAAGGGAGACATTGGAACCTTTAAATTACATAATATGTACAAACTTCTCAAAACTGCCTCCGATAAGCATTGTCATAGGCCATAGCGAGATATCGCGAGAGTTGCGCGCGAAACTTACGCGTGGGTCGTGGATTTTTATGAGAAGCCGCTGCAGAGGATGCAGCAGGCACGTAGCATCAAAGTGAGGCTGGCATCCATATTTGTTGTCCCAATGCATCTCCACGTCACCTCCGTGATTAAAATTTGCTTATTCTTTACTCTGTGGGATTCAAACAAAAATGTTTTTATTCCAAATGAAATAATGGACACCAGTGATTCATGGAGTTTGATCTGATTCACGCTGCATGTTGAACGCCGAGATGTGCAACCGAAGAAACAAGCCAATATTTCATGGGACTATCTTCCTAGCTCTCGCTGCAGGACTGGGTTACACCTTTTACCTTTATAATTTGACTAAAACAGACTTAGATATCTCTAGAGCAGAGACGGACAAGCATCTTAAGCAACAAGAATCGCTATCGTCCCAGCTCCAAGGTTAGTGTAAATATAAATGTTATTGTTTTCCTTTGATTGTATATTGTGTCTGTGAAGAAGTCTAGTTCTTACAAAGTATTACAAAGAACTCTTCAAAAGAAGAGTTAATCTAATTAGCTTCAAGTTTGTCTTACAAAACTATTGTTTTGTGCACTGATTAGGTTACACGGTGTTAATGCGTTATGAAGATTTAACGCGCTGTAAATGAGTGAAACTTTATTCTGTGGAAAAAATGACCTGCAGAAATAAATCTCTTTGTTGTACACCTGTATTCCCACATCTACCTTTTTATGAGCCTTGCAAAAAATATACAGTTACACTAGTATAAAGTGGGTACCAATAGAGCCTTTCTTGGTGTCTGCTTAATTGAGGTGCTAGGTGTGAACATTTGAAAAAAAATTGAGCCATTCATCTGCTTAATATAGGATGTTCACCTAGGTTCCGCTTGATACAAGCGTTACTGTACATTCAAAATTCAGACGGTGATTATTTCTTCAAAAAAGGTTGAATCTCTTTTAGTGGTGTGCTGATCATCAATAAAATAATAATGATCGACTGGGTGGGTAAATCCAATTATTTCTGATGATTGGTTATGAAAACTCAGGCGATTCCCAACACTAATCTCTTTACACCTTTTTTACCTGTCTCTAACAGCAACAGACTATGACTATGGCCACTCCCACTAAATGAGATGCAGCAAAATTTTAATGTTAAGGGTTATTTAGTGGAATTCCCTTTTTGAATTTGCTCAAGAAGTGTGCAATCTTAAAGGGCATAGATTTAAATTACTTTTGATTTAATTAGGTTTTTATGATAGTGATAATATTTTTGTTTTCAGTTGTGTATGAACATCGTGCCCGGCTGGAGAGATCTCTTCAAAAGGAGAAAACAGACCACAAGAATACAAAGCTTGGTGCGTACTTTGTACTCAATCATAAGTCAAGTAGTGTTTAACTATTTTCAGTAAGTAGGTGTGGTCACTGTATACGGTCACTTACAAGGAAAAAAAGAACAAAAGAATAAACTTGAACTAATTTCTTACCTTGTAAGTTCTTGTGATTGCTTAAGAAATTTCAGCATTGGTAACTTCTGTGATAGTATTTTATAACAGCATTTGAATGAAAAACAAAATGAGTGTTTACATAGTGGTTGCTAACTGGGAGTGGTCGTTTCTGAAAGTGGTCACTAAGAAAGGGTTTACTGATTGACAATAAAGTTGTTATTATCATGCACTAGCAAACATGCAGCCAGTTAACCTTCATCAAGTGTCCCACTATTGTTCCTTACATTAATACCTTATGCTTATTGAGGTACTTATTGTGTGTAATGCTTCATGTTTTACAGAATTTTCCAAAAAGCAGAATGATTTTCTTTTGAATATTACCAGATCAAAGGTGATTGTTTACGTCAAACCATGATAGAAATTTTGACCTATTTTTTTTCCGTCCTTACTGGTCATGTAAATTAATACTTCTTCTTAACAAAAGAATTAATGTTGCTTAATTTCAGCATGAAGCAATGAACAGATTTAATTCATTAGAAACACAGTATAATATGCTTAAGGTATGTACTTTGGCAGAATATAGTTTTCAGAGTGGTAGGGAAAAAGCTATTCTTTATTATTTGGGGAGCAAGGGTGGCGAAGTGGTGAGAGCACTTGCCTCCAACCAATGTGGCCCGAGTTCGAATCCTGGCATCAACGCCATATGTGAGTTGAGTTTGTTGTTGGTTCTCTCCCTTGCTTCAAGAGGTTTTTCTCTGGGTACTCCGGTTTTCCCCTCTCCTTAAAAACCAACACTTTCAAATTCCAATTCGATCTGGAGTGCACAGACATGTTTCGACAAGTCATTATGAACTCCTTAGTGCTCCGTGGGTAAACAAATTACAATTTACAAATTTACAATTACAATTTTCTTCTTGTAATATTTTTTTTATTGATTTCTTAAAAACAATAAAAGGCATTAATTGCAAGAGATAAATGAAATCTTGAATCTCCTTTTAATAATGTAAAGAATCTTGTTTAAGATAAAATCTGCCCTATTTAGTGGGCAGGATCCTGTGTAAGATCCTATGAGGTGGGCAGGAACCTGTATAAGATCCTATTTAGTGGGCAGGATCCTGTGGAAGATCCTATGAGATGGGCAGGATCCTGTATAAGATCCTATGAAGTGGGCAGGATCTTGTCTAAGATCCTATGAGGTGGGCAGGATCCTGTATAAGATTCTATGAAGTGGACAGGATCCTGTATAAGATCCTATGAAGTGGACAGAATCCTGTATAAGACCCTAAAAAATGAATTCACAGAGCCTTCTGTTTCTTCAGCAAGAGTTGTTTCAAATAAATGGGTAACTGATATGACAAAAAAATCCCCCTTGCCTCCTAAAGAAAAAGGGAAGAACAACCATCTGATTTGCTGCTTGAGTAGCATCCAAACTGCAACTGTCATTTGAATGTACCAAAATTATGTAGTTGCATAACATCACAGGCCTTGTTTAGGGATATAAAGTCATACATCTGCTTAACTGTGACTAGGAGATTGTTACTCTGTATCCATTT